TTGGTAGAAATACAGTTTATATTCACATGAGACTATCTTTTTTTATAATTATCCTTTGAATTGTCTTGGAACCATCTTGTGAAGTTTGTTTCTGCTCCACACTCACAGTCATCGCAGTCCAGACTTGGCTTGGAGCTCATCTTGATCTTCTGCTCCAGGTTCTTAGTGATGAAGTGAGTTAGGTCTCCATCATGGCTGACCGTCCCCTCTAGCTCCAGAGCTGAGGAGATCGTAGCCCGTCGACCCTCTGATTGGCCACTTCTGCCCCCTCCCCGGGCCCCCAAACTGCCTACGGATAATACGCAAACATCAGCTAAATACGGTTATAAAACGCTGACACTAATCACGAACATAAAAAGATGAAAAGCCCATTGATACAGTCACAATTCCCACTACTTTTCTGTTACTTGTTTTACTGGTCTTAAATGTTATCGTTTCAAGCAAGTAAAGAGAAGACAGATCACTCCAACAGATTTCTACCTCCACATGATTGGCTGATTTCATCCAGGCTCTTGCTATCCTGCATCCCCCGGACGTTGCGAACCCACACCTGGGCCATGACATGGGGTGGGCAGGGGCCATCATCTGAGGGAAGAGGAGGATGGGGAGAGGAGGAGGAGGCGGTGCTAGGCCCGGGAGCAGAGGACGAGTAGTGTTGTGAAGACTAAAAAGGAGGTGGGGAGATGAATGAAGAAAGAAGTTAAACTACTGCTTAATAAAAAATGATTATGAAACTAAGCCAGGAGCCTTTCATTTGATGGACAGCTTTTTACCACATGTTCACATTTAACCATTAAATGAAAATTAGAGATTTATACTTTTAACATCGATAGACAGATTTATTTGTCCTTTTAGAAATTCATCATGTGCTCCACAGCACATGCTTTAGTTTATGTGAAGAATAGTGTCTCAGCAGAGTGTATTTAAAGGAGGTAAGCCCTGATTTTATTCCCATGATGCTCTCCACTCTTAAGTACACTTAAACAACAAAACATCAGAAAGTAATCCTACAGTCCACTCACGTCCATTTGTGTTCTCCCTGCATACGGATTCCTCCACTTGTTTTCATTCTTCTCATCCTCCTCCTCATCCTGTTTCTCCGCCTCTCCATCTTCCTCCTCGTCTCGGCTGTCAGTGCTTCCATCCACAGTATCTGCCTCTGTCAGCTGTCCGTCCCGGGAGATGAGGTCTTCTCGCTGAGATGAGTCTTTGGTCTGTGCTGAGTCCCACAGCAGAGCTACACCAGGAGGCTCGACAGTGTTAGAGGCCTCAGGAATGTCTCTGACGATAGATACTGATTCTGAGTATCCTGTACATGTGTCAGTGGAGAAAGACGGGTCTGTGTGCAATGATAAACTGGAGGTTCTCTCGTTAATGGCCATCTCTGTATCCAGGTGACCTTCGCCATCGTAAACTCTGTTTTCCACATTTATATGGTTCTCTGTGTGTCCGAGGGAGCTGTCCTCTGATCCCTCCCCAGAACAGGGAGCTCTGCTTCCTCCGCATTTCACAGAGACGTTAGGGCCGTTCTCTGAAACAACGGGTATCACAACCCCGTTAGCTGTTTCTGGCACTTCTGTGCCAATCACAGGGGAGAGACTCATCCCTCCACCTGCTGGTGAAGAAAGAGAAAATGTTAGACGATGAAGTTCTGCTATTTAAATCCACATTAAATGATGTGTTAATGATTGTGTTCTGCTGTTTGACAAATGGATACTAACAAGTGCCACTGTTTACAAGGGCTAAGAATACCTGGGGTTTTTTTCACTTTCACCTTGGTTTGGTGAATAAATATTTGTTTAAACCTCTTATCCTTGCTTGTTGTATCAGGCTAAAATTAAGGTCATCACCTTGATGAGAAATAGTCCGCAGGTAAACATGTTTCCTAATTTGAATCATGAATATCTTCCAGGTTTCATTATTAAATGCTGCAGACACAGTTTGGTTGGTGCTTCAAAGTTCTGAGGCATGACCTAGTTATAAGGTGCATGTCATTTTTAAGTTGTGCTATCTTTGTAATAGTGTTGTATTTTGTAAAAAAAGCTTCATTGGATACAGTAACACAGCAGGGAAAATAGTTGAATAAACTGTTATGTTTCCAAATTAGAGGAACATGATCACATTTCATGAAAAGTTCTAAATTCATGGGTTGAATTTAAGAACTCAAGAAATTCATACAAACGAATAATTTTGTAGTCATGTGTAGGGACTGGGGGGGTCGGTGTGTATGTATACATCATGTGTGTGTAAATGTGTGTATACATGGTAGTGTTTGTGTGAATAGAAATGTGTTTGTGTATGTATGTTAAGACATGTGTTCTCCAGCTAGTCACACTGCTGCATAAGGTCAACAAAATTAATTTTCTAGTCTCGTCACAACTATAAATTATCTCCTCATAAAGTATTTGCACTGCATAATCTATTTTGCACGGTTTGCACTACAATCATTCACTGTAGTCCATTCATAGCTTATCTACCCTGTGCCTTTTTGACTGGGTACTTATTATTACTAACTTACTTATTGTGTTAATTATGCTTTGTGTACTTCAATGTCTTCTTATATGTTTACAGCAGCGATCAGAAAGAAACTGTATTTCAATCCTGTATGTCCTGGACTGTACATATGGCAGAATTGAGAGTAAAGTTGATTGTCTTTGACTAATTCTGATGTCTTGTGTGTAAATGTCTTATAGGCACATACTACAAATGCTGCACTGCTTTGCATTGGGTTGTTTTCAAGGTGTTGTATCGATCGCTATCAAATAAACATTACAGTCAGTTCGAATGTTTCCACGTAGATGTCCTGCACACACAGTTAGCAAACATAACCAGAGACGACAAAGGAGGGCTGCAGTGTTTGTGTGATAACTATAAGAAAATAAGATGAGCTAAGATAAAGTGGTGGGCAACAACAATCTCATGCTGCAGGTGAAGATTTGTCACGTCACTATTCTGTTTTTCGTCTCAGTCTCCAGAACTGAATGTGTTGATGTGCAGTAACTCCAACTGGAAATGTTGAACCCAGTTGTTTTCTTCTTGACCAGGGTTGTTGGATCATATCAGCTGCTGAAGCGTGAGGCAGCTCTGCCACAAACACACTGCACACATCTTCTCATTCATGTGAAATGACGTAGTAGTCGGCTGCTAAGCTTCGCACTAGCTTAGTCTGAGCTAACTTCATGTTAACACGAGCTCACATCCTGTGGACTGTCAGCACAGACAGCACGTTGTGTGGCTAACAAACAAACAGCGACAGAGAAATGAAGACGACGCAGAGAACTGTGCGATGAGGAAGTTGATGTGCTGCTGCCTTTAGCCGTCTTGCTAACTCGCTGTCAACGGTGAATGTTATTGAATAGTGTTAGCACCTAGCGGCTAACGTTAGCTGGCCTTTAAAACACAGTGTTTACAAGGTTCGCTGGTAACTGTCCGACACTGGAACACTACAGAGGGTGTATCATCTAGAAATGTGCACAGGTCTATCGCTGAGGGTTTACAACACCAGCTCACAGCTCAATTAGTTAAAGAAAACACTCACCGGAGCAGTTCCTGTTCTGAAAAATGTAACAACCAAGTCCGACCCGGAAATCCTTCCCCTCTGATCCCAGCACAACAGTTCCGCCTCACAATGATAAAAGGAATTTTAGACGATATTATTTCAAGAAGTAATAATACCAACTTTTCTCCACACTGTATGATGTAATACCGAGTTTATTTTATTACTACCCACAGCCAGAGTCCAGTGCTGTTCATTTGTGTGTAACCCTAATGGAGGAGAACCGCTGTGTGCTGCTGTGGCATAATGATGACACCACACGTGACTCCTGCATCCTGAAGCCGAGTGTGTGGTGTTGATGTGTTACTGTTTACGTCACCGTGGCTCAGTCTGTGTGTGTCCCTGCTCTCCTGCAGATGGAGACAAACACCACAGGGCAGAGTACAGTTACATTTAGATGCAGAGGAGCGTCCAGGTTAGTGAAGACACAGGAAGACAAAGGTTCAGCATCTTGTGCTGGCAGCTGAGTCTGAGGGGTCTTGATCTTGACCTCTTCAGCTGTAGGCGTGCAGCTGGGCCTCTGACCTCTGACCTCTGACCTTCTGGGGAGGAGAGGAACGATGCAGAAGACATCCCTGATATAAATCTTGAAGATATGTGTTTCTAAGGCTACAGAGAAACACACAGAGCTGCTTCTTTTGTGAGACTTCAAATCTCAAAACCTGACAGTCAGTGTTTCCTGGTTTGACTTTGTGCTTCTGTGGTTTTCAGTTTCTGACCTTCTATAGCCACTGTCACTCTGAAGGGAAACACAAGTGTTTAGTCTGAACATCAGAGAACCTGGAGGGCATTTTGATTGTTTTAGAGTCTCAAGGGTATGTTTCACTATTTGGCACATAGCAACACAGTGGTCTTGGTGGTCACTTTCATATATTTAGGGAGATATGAGGACCATCCTACAGTGGCTGAGAGAGCTCAATGCACTACAAACTAAGAAAACATGCAAATAGAAAAAACATTAAGAAAACAACTTCATCAGTGACTTAATGAAATAATGGTGTTGTACTCATCAGTGGTGATGAAACTTCACAATTTATTGAACTACAGCCAGGTGCATCCCTTTTTGGGTCCCCTGGAAACATTTACGGTGTCGCCTCGCTATTTGCAGCAAGTTTCTGTATTTGCATGTTGTGACTTTTTGCAGCATGTGCTGTCAAATTAAAGAAGTTGTTTTCTGAATTTGCAAGTGTTTTTTCTATTTGCATGTGTTTTCTTAATCTGTAGTGTGTTGAGCTGTCTCGGCCACCGTACGATACAGAAAAAAATATTCGCAGATAAAAAGAGGAAGAATTTCAATTAAAAGCATGATCGGGGTAAGTGCTAAAATACTGCAAACAGATCAATAAATCATTTTTGAGTTGCTAAATGATATCCCACGAGTCATAATTTTGGAAATCATAATGATATAATTGTTGATATCAACAGAAGAAGATAAAGATTTGAAATTCTTTAAACTGCTGGTAAAATGACTGGAGAGGACACGTAAATACACAGGAGGCTTTGGTTTAGCCTGTTTGCCTCCACAGTGGAACCTGGGCCAATGTCTGTGGCTTTCAAACCAATGAGTGTGGTCAGAAATGACAAACACCGCTGCAGAGGAGGAGAGAGGGTTCAAAACCACACTCTCCCCACATCTAGAGAGCTTGTAAAATTTCTAATTTACCCCATGCATCCAGGCCAGCTGCTCCCGCTCTCTTGGTGGTTATTCGGCTGTTGTATCCCATTTGTTTCTTTTTGTGCCAAACATCAAAGCCTGGGGAATTTACCTAAAGGACAATTGGATTTCTGAAATAACCCAATAGTTCAACACTTCCAGAGTTTCCTAGTAAAACACTCAATAAGCACAATGACAATTAGCAAAATTTTACTTTTGTGTCTGAGGAGGTTACTATCAGAGAAAAGCTATTAACTTTCACATTAATGGAAATTTTTGGGAAAATTAGAGATTGGAAGCACATGTCTTTATACAGATGCATTCTTTCCATAATAAAAGCTGCACACTGCATCGGCAACTGAAATGACTACAAAGACCCATAAACCTGCTCGTTGTCTCTCCCTCAGTCAGGAAACTGCCTTCACATGTCCAGGAATACTGTAAAGGAATAAGGAAATACACTAATGTAAATCCAATGCAATTGTTTTGCAGTGGCACAATAACTGAAAGTATAGCTGCTTTCGGACGTGAACTGAACACAGGATAATCTCTGGAAATTCTCCAGAGAGGCTGCATGTGAAAACGCACATATCTGAGTGAGAGCCTCTGGACTATTTCTGGAGTTTCTCCTCCCAACCACTTAAAGTAAAAACTCTGAGAATGTACGAATGCGCCCATGGAGAAAATAGCAGGACATCATCCAGAGGATTCACTGGAAGCAAGAGAGCGTATTGATGACATTTCGAACACAACAATTAAGAGACAAACAAAAAGAAAATCAATACCTCAGGATGAAAAAGTGGTGCCATATTGAAGACATCAAGAAAGATGAGACTTTTTGGTGATAAGGACAGACACCAGTGCAATGTGCTGTAAACAAAAACATGATCTCCGCAGTGGAATTTATATGTAACATCCTTCGTCTGCATGCTGCACCACCCCCGCCTGAATACCTCAGAGATTTCTATGTTGTTGTGAATATGTCTCTACTTCTACATGTCTGAGTGGAGAATTTCCTGCTGCATCGTTGATATGTTATAGACAAAATCCAGAGAAGGTTCAGACCCGATTGTGTGGACATCCTCTGGATTTGAAGTCTGAAAAAGGCTTGTGATGTTCTCAAGTCAGCGCATGGCAAATAATGCAGTGGGTTAAAAGATATTTTAAATTATTTTCCAGCAAAATACTGACATCTTGACACAGCGTTTTGTCCAAATTGGCTTTGAATCAAACTCTATTCTACTTCTCTCTTCCCAAACACACTTCCACAGGTCACATTAAAAACTGCAGTTAAATGTCTGTCTCACTCTGATAGCAGTGAAGACACTGATAGGGTCCAGCTGGCCCCGTCTCCACCGGCAGTTGCCATAGGAACCAAGGTCGTAGCAGAGATCTACGTTTGTAAAAGATATGAGCCTTGAGTTGAGATAGTAAACAGTTATATTACAGATGTTCCCTCAGGGTTACGGCCTACAGTGTTCTGTTAGAGAGGATATACGTGTTACATAGGATGCATACATGAATTACTGGGTTAATCTTCATCCTATGTTGTAATTGTTATATAGATATTATTATTTGTATTATTTATTGCTATATATAGAATTTATAATGATAGTAGGTGAACGCGATATGGTGTATAGCCACACTGGGCTGATGGAGGAGGTTGTTGTGCATCAGCTCTCTGCCTGTTGCCCCTGGTGGCATGATGTGTAGACGTGGTCACACGTACAAGATGTGTCTCTAAAACCTGAGAGGAAAATTGTGGCCTTTGGCAAGAAATTTCAGTGACTTTTCTTTTTTTTTTGTAGATTGCCAATTTAGGAGATTCTTTCGGAATGCTCAACCAGAAGACTGACTGGTTTCAAGTCCGAGGAAAGAACATCATCAATTAGAGGCGTCTGTGTAAATATACTCAGTAACTGTGGCATCCTTCAAGTCCGCAGGAATAAGTTCTCAGAAAACCGTGCGTTGCAGTAAGCTGTAAAATTCAATCGTAAAACATGAGCTGAGAGTTTTGTTGAGCATAAAAACTTCACTGAAAGAGATGCCGCAGTGAGGTGCACATAAACCCCTCATTACACCAAAAAGGCACTTTTATGAGCAAAATGGTGAAAATAAGACTTCCTGGTTGTTTGAGCTGTGAGGGAAAAGTAAAATGGTAGATGAGTCATTTTGTCATCTCATGCTGAGTGCTTGTTAAAAACATCGAAAACGGTATGGACATTGACTATTACATTTTTTGTGTTGTGACATCCCTAGTCTTAAAGGTACAGTGTGAAGGATTTACGTACATCTAGTGGTGAAGTTGCATGTTGCAGCTGAACACCCCTCACCTCACCCTCTCCTTCCAATCATGAAAAAGAACCTGTGGTAACCTTCAGTTGTCATAAAACTCAAAAGGTGTTTAGTTTGTCCAGTCTGGACTAATGTAAAAAACATGGCAGTCTCCGTAAAGAGGACCCCCTCAATGTATATATAAAGAATTTAGATATAAAGGGTCTTCTCTGGGGTAAAGAAAACTATAATTCATACAATTTAGATGAAACGAACTAGTGAAAACATCATGAGGATTATTCTACATTAAATTTCTGCCAATAGATCCCTTTCACAGAAATCTTACACACTGGACCTTTAACTCAAAAACCCTTGAAGAATACTAACCAGTTGTGAGTGTGTAATTGTATGACTTGTGCATACAAAGTGAGTGTTGGTGAAAATGGGATGAGTTTTACTGGGTTTTAAAGGTTCTAGAATTGACTTGTACTTGTATTCCACCTGTTATGACCCGTTAGAATTCAAACTATATTGTCTAGAAGCACATGCAGACTGTCCGAAATAGTTTGTCTCCTGATCGAGAAGGGGGTGATCTCTGTCACCTTGATCTATCAGTCCAGGAAACTAGTATTGTTACGTGGTTTTGCTTTAAAAATGGAGGACGCTCGCAGTCAAAGCCACCAGCAGCATCTGAGAAGCTGCGTGTGGAGGTATTTTGGGTTCTACACTTCAGATGACAAAGCATCAATCACAGATGAAGCTGTTTGTCGTCTTTGTACTATGTAACTCCCTTATAACATATCTATAACATTTTTGGAAAAACTGACAGCACTAATGTACAGAACTCTTGAACTTACTGGGTCTGCTTCTGGCAATTGAAACTGTGACGATCAGTCTGTTACACAGTCTTTGAGGAGGTTGACCCTGTTTCAATAGCTTCATAGTGGAAGAACTTAGCATCCGCAGTAAGTGTGCCATCAAACACATTTTGAAGCCACATTTTTGTTTCACTTGACTTTGTGTGTAGTGTGTGGATTTGTTAAAGGCACAATAAATCACAAAACACAAGCATAACATTTTGAAAGCAGACCAATACATTTACTGAGAGAAAAACAAAGTCTGCACACTACAGAGGAAATCATTTGATGACAGTTTCATTCTGTCTGCAGAGAAGTCATTGTGGAAAGTCACAGTCTACTATTGGCACTGAGATGTATATACAGCAACAAAAGGAAACACATGAGGCCATTGTAATGAATGAGGAGCAGCTCTGCACCACGTCTTCAAGTGAAACACTAAAATTAAATGGTTCACCGTTAAAATGTCATGTCAGTTCAGCCTCCTGTACATGTGGTGTTTGGATCGAAACACACACACATACAGTATATAATATTTACACACTTTAAACAATCTCATATAGACAATATTCACAAGCGGGAATTTAAACAAACGTGATCATTTTTGAGATTGTTGTTACATCTGGTTCATTTTTATGCGACAGACAAACTAAATCTGAACAGGCAGTGTGCTCCAAATTAAATCAACGTTGGCGTCTTCTCACAGGCCGCATGGAGGTTTGAGAGCTAATGCATCACATTTGGCTTGTTGGCCTGAGAGTGTGTGTTGTGGTAAGCAGCGATTGTCGAAATCTTTGCACAGCCTACACAACACAATGTTGCCTGAGGGCGAATCAACATCATACCTATCAGCTATCATTGGTGGTGTGAGTGTCTCAATCTACTCATCTGAGGGCGCTTACACCTATTTGTAAGTTTAGTCCAGACCCTTAGACTTTTCAGTTTAGTGTGAACCAAATGATTAGGTGTGAAAGGTGCCTTGGATCCAGATCACATCCCCCAAACTTTAGTCAGACTTTAGAGAGGTGGTGTCGGTCTGCATCAAACTCGACTTTGGTTTGGATCTTTTGCAGTGATAAAACATTTTTTGGACAGTTCAAAGTTTTGATCCAATTGCAGGAAGTTGACACAGAATTTAATTATAGAGGAAGTTAAATCACAGTTTTGAAGGCTCACTCTATTGCTTAGTCTTCACCTCTGAGAATACAATGTTTGAATGACGAGGACGTTCATTTGAACTAGTATCACTGCACTTGAAGTTTGTGATGAAGGTAATAATACAGTCAATACAGACAATACAGACAATACAGTGACATCAGACGTTACTCCTGTGGAGAATTTGTTGCCCTTGTGAACACGTCTGGGCAGTCTTATGCATGTGTGAAAGAAAACCTGCGGAGAAAGTCCTGATCAAATTTTCTGGAGAACCTCCGCAGGGTCTGTTTGAAAATGTCTTTACAAAGAGGTTTAGTCCGCTCCCTAAATTACAATGTGAAGCCAAAACTAACTGGATCAAATGAAACAAAGACATGAACCTTGATTCAGACCTTGGTCTGGACGTTTATGTTTGAAGACACCCTTTAACTGTAAACTGTAAAGACTTGTATTTAACACTACAACTTAGCTATTTATGTGGTATATATGGACAGAAAGTGTAGGAACAAGATATAACAACAAATATTTAAAAAAAATTACAACTCAGTTTATCAGTGGAGGCTCATTTAGCTGTCAACATTAACAGTGTATCCCAGGGACAGTTTTTACTAAAGGCAGGGTGCCTGTCTAAAGTGCAAACACTCTGTATCTGCTGTTAACACCATGAAACACCTGTTTACTTGTATTTGCTCTAAATTATCTACTTGACAGCAGCATGAGAACACAAATCTTGAATTCATTTGGATCACGCTGCTCGCTTCACGTTCGCCCACATGCACCCTTTTATTTTTGAGACAAGGCTATATCTGACACTTTCACACTTTCAACAGCACCTCAGAGTCACATACTTCCCCATAAACCCTCTTTCGTTCTCTTTCTTTAAACACTCTCATACAGAACCAGCTCAGCACTGGTTAGCTCTTTCATGTGGCCAAAGCCAAGACGCCAAGAAGCCAAGCCCATGTTAATGCTCTGCAGGCTCTCGCTGCTCTGAGTCGTTTTGGTTTATTTGGCTTTCTGCATCAAAAGTGTCTCAGATTCATTGCTCCAAACCTCTGAACAGCTGGACTTCAGACCCTCTCACTTCAATCCCACAAATTTCATACATACACTAAGATATACACACACTCACACACAAAGACACACTGCACATCCCCTAACAACATTCTGTCCTTAACCTAACCTTAATCATCGCAACTGAACCCTTAATCTTAATCTTAACCTAATTCTAGTCCTACCTAAACTAAAAAGTAAATCCTCAAACATGAAGCATGAAGAGTCCAGCAAGTATGTCCCCACAAAGCTGTTGGACCCCAAATATAGTGGGGTTCTAACTTCCAAACCCCACAAACATAGTAAAACAAGGCTACATACACACATGCGTAAAGCCAGATGAGCAAAGGAACTGAGGTCATATAGATTTAATATAGACACAATTGCGTGCTCAGCATCATCATTGTGGGATGAAACTAAATATACGAAAATACGAGAGGCTGTAATTATTGGACTTAACCAAGCATATAAACACATCTTCTTCCAGTAAGCATACAGAGTAAATTTTCAAGTTTTAATTCACTCAGGCTGTCTGCCTTTCTCTTGGTCCTACTCCATCCTCTCATGTATACCAATAAACGTCAGAAGCATTCGATATGTTCACCTCTTATACAGTCTGATCTATGAACAACAGAACTATCACCATATCAGCTGACTGTTTATATCAGATATTCCAAGACGTAAATACACTTGGGCAAGATTCTCTGGAAATTTAGTAAAAACAAAAAGAAAAGAAAAAGATTAGAGTATACAAAGACCAACAAACACATTTGTTAAATAAGTATCCAGTCTTCAAACCTGAAGGAGAGCTTAAAGCGTTTCCCAAAAAAACTGACCTCACAATGTGCGAAACAAGGATTTTCACTCCAGATGAATAAACAAATAAATAAGCAGAATGTTAAATAGACATGGAACAAGATGGGATGTTTAACATTTTAACATTAAGAACAAATCACAATTTACAGCTTTGAAAAGTCAGTGAAGTCGCTCAGATCCTCTTTATGTTAAGCACTTTCTCACGTTCTCATGCAACGGAACACTCCACCTCTTCAAAGTCACACTCGGTCCATTTTGGGCCCCGAGCCGTAGTTCGAGAAACATGCATGTTCTGTACAGTCTTGCCATAGTTCAAGTTCACCGTCCATGTCGTATCCAACATGACTGGAAATCTTTTCTGATGATTCAGTAGTGTTAACTGTCACCACCTGAATAACATTAAATGATTTTTGTCCAATGGAAACAGAGCCACACAATATCCAGTTTGTATTTGAATTTGCATTGTACACTGTATTTTAGTTTTACTTTTTTGTGTGTTTTTTTCCTGTATTCTATTTTATATGTTCAGTACTTTAATCTTGGATCAAGCTGGCTCAGTCTAATTATGACTTTTATTGAGTTACTATAAAGGCCTGACTGTGCCTCATATATGAGCGGCAACATCATTTTGTTTCAGAAACGCAAAAACAAAGATGTGTTGATTTGTCTGTAGACTGGACATGATGTGCAGACGTTACTTTTGTTGCACAGAGAATAAACCTTAACATGTTTCTTGCATCTGTACACTGAAACCAACCAAAACTCAAAATAGGACTGAGCATTTTTTTCTGGCTTTATAAAACACACCACATCCACCTTCATTTGGCTCACCACACCTGTGCTGAACAGCTTTTTGCTGCGTGGCATAAAATAAGTGCAGCTATGGACTGAAACAAACACTGAGGAGAACATAATGGAAACATCTCCTGTGGTGCATTTGTACGGCAGCAACACACAACACTAACGACCTGGGAAAGTAGATCTGTAACCTCATCAAAGCCGTCGATCCCTTTCATCTTTGTGGTCACGGTCAGTAATCTTGTGGTCAGACTCCGCCTACCTCAACAAACCAAAGGCTCTCGTTTTAGGTGAATTGCTGAAGGGACTTCATGATAAACTGTTACATATTCAAACTAAGTGCTATTCACAATCTAAATCATTACTTTTTCAAAGTTGCTTCTGTGTTTACATTACATTGATAACTAATAATTAAATTCTGAAGATTTTAGCCCTTTAATTATCAATTACTGTATTTAGATCAATGAGGTTTCCATTTTCTTTTCTTACAGAAGGGGGTCATGTGATAGAAGCCTGACAATTTAGCAAATATGTCGTGACTGAAAAGACCCAGTCAGCAAACAGTTGCAAGCATCTATGTCATTGTTTCCAGACATCTCAGTTTCTGCCCATCCAGACTACAAGATAGTTCATTTTCAAAATAAAATAGGGCCAGAAGCGTTTACAAACTTCTCCGTTTTAATGGCTCTACAACTCTGGAGTAGGGTGGACGTATACGTTGCAGAGCTGATGCTTTTTTAAACAAAGTAGTATGGATGTGGCCTCAGTTCTCCATTGACGGATGGAGTATCCTTGAAATTTCAGCTAAACAAAACAGAAGGTTTGAAAAATGTTTCTTGCAACTGCAATTAAATTACTTTTAACCCAAAAAAGGCAACATGTTGCATTTTTTAAGTTTCTGCACATGAAAATCAATGGAAACCAGTGTCTGCCTGGAAGGTAGGAAATCAATCTAAAAACATCTGTTCTCTTTTAGAGCATAAGTGACATGATTTGTAATTAATGGGCAAAAACATTCAGAAAACTATGGTCCTTTAAGGCAGCAATCATTTCATATGGGTTGGATTATTTTTTTTCAATTGCTAAACTTCTGGAACATGACTCCTATTTCATGTTTTTCTGTAGAGGATGTAAATTCAAAGCATTCCTTTTACACGTCCTTGTCACGAGACAGAGTCAGTCAAACTGAGTGATCTGGACATGCTGCTCATCCTTCATTCAGCATGCATCTACTTTCTTTTGTATTAACAAAGTCTCTGTCCAGGTCAAACAGTCTTTGCTGTTCACATCCTCCTGTACATACTTCAGTTCTTTGTGTAGCTTAGTTTACGAAAAGTAAGTAATGATGCCTTTTTTATTGGTAAGTAAGTAAGTGCATGCTCATGACGTAGTCTCTGTACATACAGTATGTGTGTGTCTCAGTGTATTAAGTGTGTGTGTGTGTGTGTCTGTGTCTATGTATGTGTGTGTATTCACGTATATGTAACATAAATGTGTGCGCTTCACTGAAAATCCTCCCTACTGCTCCGCAACATATTCAAGCGCTTCTTGGCGCCCTCTGCTGAGGCTTGCTCCTGCTCTTCCTCCCTGCTGCTCTTCCTCCCCCTCCCCGTTCTCCCCCGTGCTTGTGCCTGTCTCCTCTTCCTTTCTCCTTGTTTGGCTCCACCATCATGTCACCATGACGACGGTGGTTGCGCGGGGGGCGGTATCCCAGGGCCCTGCAGTGCTGGCCGAGATTTCCCGGGTGAATCAGCGCCATCACGTCCTCATACCAGGGCTGGGGTCCCCTGCTCTGATAGGATGAGGTGGACCAGGAAGCGACGAGGTGGTTGGCCGAGGCGCTCCAGACGGCGAGACGAACAGTGACAGCGGTCCAGTGGTAGCCATGCTCCTCCACCTGGCAGTGGTAGACGCCACTATGAGACAGCTCGGCTCGACGAATCAGAACACCCCGCTCGATAACCACCAGCTGGTCACCTGTTACCACCTTAGTGGTGAGACAGATTAGATGAATGATGAGTGCTACACCAAGTGCAAAGATGGAAGATACGACAGCTCCTAGTGGCTGTTTGCATTAAAGGCCATGAACCCTGCCTCCTCCATGTTGATGTATGGGACTTGGGCTTTCGGTAGTTCTTATCTGATTGATATTTATTCTGGTGCTGAGGATGGTTTCAGAACATTCAAGTGTTGGACAAACTCAAAACTACTGCATACAAGCTCTGGAGATCATGCTAGCATGACTGTGAGGCTCAAGTTCAAACCACTTGAGCCATTCAGATCCACCCACCCCTCCCTCTCCCTAACCCTGGAACACTCCACCCAGGAGCGAGGCCACAGAGGAGCCCTGAAGGCAGACGGCCCTGGCCCAGCCCTTCACCGGCATCCTCATCATGTTCGCTGTCTCGGGAGCTTGCTAACCTGTGATTCAACCATGAAGACATTTAGTGTTAAGCCTCAGTGCGAGAGGACCAGTTGACCAGAGGCATGTTTATAAAAAGATTGACAGCTGTGGTCTCCCACCCCTTCTCTGGTTGGTTAGAATGGAAAGAAAAATTTATCAAGAATATCTTTGCACTGGTGGCAGGCTGCTCAATGAGTCACAGAAAACTTTGACAGCACTTCTCCACCTTAAGATATGCTTAGGTGCATATTTCCTCGAAAGATATGAGAAAAAAGTTTCATAAAGTTACATCATGCAACCTACAAGATTCTCCTGTATTTATTTTTAAAAAGTTAAAAAATAAAAAAGGTATAACAGGCGAATGGGTGTGTGATTACCTGGTTTAGTTCAGGACTGTTCTCTCCAGCCTGTTTGTACCAGGTAACAGCAGCATGTCTGGATCGAGGGAGACATTCCAGGTATGTGCTGTTACCCTCAGCAACCATCATCACCCTCTGTTCCGCCTCCACCTGCAGCACGGCTGACAGTGAGAAAAAGATGTGGCAGCTTGATTTACTGTGTTTCCAACAGAGACAACAACAGAAACAAGTCCAGAACTTTTTGATCAACAGGGTTGGAGTCCGATATGTTTTACAAGTTCTGCCCATTTGTTAGCATGTGGTCATTTGACCTAAAGACTTTTTATTTATTTTTTTAAGTTTAAATGTGTTTCCTCTCTTTTGCCAAAAGATGATTGTTTCTGTCGTCACAGTCTTTTGCCTTTTTTATTATATTTATGGAATTTATGTTAACAATGTAAATTCAGTGGTATTGTGGTGAGTTATTGATTATTTATCCCATCTGGCCTGGGAACGCCTCAAGATCTCCAAGGAACATCTGGAAAGCATGGCCAGGGAGGCCTACTTGGCCGGCTACCTTTGTGACCCAGGCCCAGACAAGAGGAAGACAATGGATTGGTGGAATGTATAAACTTAACTATTTATCAGGGATTTACTATCAGTGTGTTTTAAGCTGTAGAGCTTTTATGATATAAAATGTTCTCTACTTCTAAGCTATTTCAAATAAAACTTACTTTGATGCTGTTACTTTGCATTCACGCTGTATCAGTGAACAAACATGTTGAACAGTGTATTGGTTCCTCACCTCCCTGTCTGACACACTGAGTTAGCGGATCCTCCTCCTCCCCTAAATGACGAGCATTCCTCCTGTGGAGAAAAAGTAATAAACTTGTCACCTTCTGGTCTCCTGGAGGCTGCAATGCAAATTCATCCTGTAACAGAGTGTTACATGGAACCAAATGAAAACAACAGAAGTTTGTCCTGAATGTTGTGGTGCAGAAAACACCACTGATAATTAAATCTACTTGGGAGAATCAATTTACTAAACAAATTTAATGCCAATTGAGCTTTTATGTTTTTAGATGTTGTGCTGGCAGTGGAGATCTTGGCTTATGGTGACGAAGGTGACACTGAGGGAAAGTTCCCCCAAAAAATGATTGGCATCTTCGCATTTCATGGAAAATGTTGTTCAAGTGGAAAAAATGTTTAAAATTTAATCAGAATGATCTGAAAGATGTAATTGAGATGTAGCTTTGGTCGTGTTTCAAACTATAAACTATTTTGGTTTAAAGGATCAAATCCACATGTTTGTTATCCAGAGAAAAATAATTGAATTTGTCAGTGATTTCCAGTAAACGGGATATGGTTCTAAGCAGATCTGTAGTAATTCACTATACCTGCGCACAGTGGGCATGTAGGGGCTGCACGCGTGTCCGTCCCAGGTGCAGTAGGGATCTCTGGCCAGGCAGCACTCAGCACACGCCTGACCATACAACTCACACTGGTACAAGGCGAGCTGGGACACACCCTCCCTGGAGCCCACAAACAACCACTGCTGGAGGAGGAGAAGGAGGGGGGGAGGAGACAAAGAGAAATAGAGTCAGACGAACAAAGATGGTTGGAAAGGGGAGTGAAGGATGGTGGAGAAAGAGGGAAGGAGGAATGGAAGCAGGAAAGAGTAGGGGGAGGAGGAGAGTTAAATAGAGAGCCATGAGAGAAAATGGGTATTTCATTTGCTCCCAAAAAACAGAGACACACTGACAATCAAAAGCAAAACCAGATTCATCCTCAACCTCTGAGTCACACATCTAGCTCACAGTGTAACAATGTCAATGTGGCCTGATTGTGTGTGAGAGAGATAAAAAGAGAGAGAGAAAGAGGGAAGGGGAGAAAGAAACAAATGTACTTTTAATCTTCTGGGTGTGTTTGTGCGATGTGTTTTTCATGAACCCAGACAATTTTAATAATACAAGGTGTATTTCTGTGTGTGTGTGTGTGTGTGTGTGTGTGTGCAGTGTGTGTGGCATCTCTTCATTACTGCTCTGACTGAGGTGGGGTAACCATAGCAACTGGTGATGAAGCTGTCCTTGGAGATATAAGGTGGAGATGTGAGTGTAAAGTGTGATGTTTTGTGTGTGTG